ATTTTATTATTATTTATTTATTTTTATTTTTATTTTGTTTATTTTATTATTCTTTTATCCTCTTTTATTTAATTTTACAAAAAATACTTTAATATAAATTAATGGAACTAATGTCCAAGCAATCTTACTCTGATTCTTTACGATTAATTTAAACAAAATTGTTGAGGAGCCAGAGCTACATCCAAAAAGGTTTGAGGCTACTAAATATGGAAAAATCTATAAAAATCACTTCAAGACATAGTAAATTTTTGGTCAAAAATAAGCAAAATTTTGTATGAAAAATGTATAAAAAATAGGCAAACTAGTATCTAACCTATTTATATGTAGATTCCATATCATTTCACCGACACTCATTTCGTAGACACAACATTTCACCGACTATCAATTTACCGACTTGTTATTTCACTGACACTTATTTCATCGACAAGTTCATTTCACCGCAGTTATTTCACTGACAGCTCATTTTAAAAGTTTTTTTTTTTTTTATAAAATACACTAACCTTAACTTTAATTCTAACTGACCCTAACGAGGTTAAATGAGCTGTCGGTGAAATGAATTTGTCGGTGAAATAAGTGTCGGTGAAATAAAATTGATTGCCGGTGAAACGTTGTGTCTACGAAATGAGCGTCGGTGCGGAACCGTATATCATATGAGTGCGTGAGAATAAAAACCTGGAACTGATTTATAATGATTTACTATGATCAGTTACAGGTTTTCATTCTCACGCACTCATATATATATACACATTATATATATATATATATGCTCGGGGTCCTAATTGTTGGTTAGTTAGCTGTCAGTGAAACAAGCTTTATTGACGGATTGCAGTAAAACTTATCAGTGAATTGAATGTTATCAATAAATAAATGTCGGTAGAACAAATAACATAGATGATTCCGACATGGTTACATAATTGATAAATAATTTTTTTTATACATTTTACAATACTTATTTTAAAAGCTCGGGTATCTTAATTTTATATGAAACGAGATTAAATTAACGGATGAATTAATTTTTTGTCTTGCTCTATAACATATTCTTTGAATCCCTGTGAATCCCGCAACTTTTTTTTTGTAATCTGATTGGTCGATTTGCTAAAACTCGAGATATGATTGGGCGACAATCACGTGTAATTGCATAGGAATCATATACGAATTTGAACGGCTGCTCCTGTTATAGTGCACGAGATTTGATGAAACAAACGGCACCGGCTCTTGACTTGAGAAAATTCCTGGCATGTGGCTTTATTTAAGTATACAGAACAGAAGCCTTTTTGTAAACAAATAATTAAGCCTCATGTTTAAGATTTTGGTAAATACGGATGTATCAGTTTTTTTTTAACTTATGAAAGAAAAAAGTTATCCCGAATTAAATAATGGAAGAAAATGAAACTATAATTGATGTTTATCGTCCTCCATCCGCTACTGGCCATAATGAGAAATACGTCCAAATCGTTTGTTCACCCCAAATGAAATATGTAGCTACTATTACACATATGGATGCAGCTAAAAGTGACCCACAGAAGAATGGAGATCCAACACAATCAACACATGTTGATGAAGAAGATCAATTATTTAAAGAAGCGACTTTATGGTCAGTAAGTAAAAAAAAATCTGATGAGTCTGATGAGTTTGAAGAGTTGGCTTTGAAACGCGAAAATACCATTAAGGGACATCAGATAACTGAACCAAGGCCTTCATTATGGGCTGTTTCAGATAATATGTATATCGTATTTAAGACGACCTATTTTTATTATAATTTCGGTTAGCAGATTTTATATTGCTTTTTTCTTTTATTTCACCGTTTTTAACTTATTAACGTTTATCAATTATATTATTATCGAAAATTAGAAGTATTCGATGGTAAAGAAGGGGTGCGTAAAGAACTCTACTTTCCTAGCACTCACAATGTAGTAAACCAACTTGCTTTCATCAAAAACGGAGATTTAGTAATTGCTTTGATTGAACCTGTACATTGCATATATACATTCAAATTGGACCAATATAACGAATGGGTTTATTTTTCTAAATTTGAAGTAACGTATTTTTACGAGGCTTTCATTACTATCGAAGGAAAATTGATATTATTCGACGACAAGATATTTCAATTAACTAAATGGGATATTAGCGAACTTTCATTTGAAACAAATTGCTTGATCGATTGGTGTTATAAAGTTAAGCATGTAGAAATAAATAAAGGTGGCGAATTTTTAGCAGTTCATGCTGCTTATGTGCAGGGTGAAAATGAAACTACCAAGAAATCTAGAATTTATGTTTTTTCTCTTAAATCTGGAATGAATATGGCTTTTCGTAAGTTTATTTTTAAAATTAAATAAAAGAGGATAAAAGAATAATAAAATAAACAAAATAAAAATAAAAATAAATAAATAATAATAAAAT